CAGAAGTATTTAACTTAAATATCAGTATCAGGTTCGTTTTCAGGTTCATTAACAGGTTCGCGTAGCAGCGCGAAAGCTTCGCGTTCTTCGCATATAAATTTGAACTGTTGCTTCTCAACGCTTAAGTTTGTTTCCTCTAAATCATTGAAAATTCTTGCCTTGCTTTTACAATTGCAACATATATTAGTATAATGTTTATGATACTAGCTCATTCTATGTATTTTTAAATCAACCCTCTATCATTTTAACTTCTTTTTCAAAAATCCATAATATTATTTCTAATTTTACAACCGCATCTTCATGTAGTCATTATTTCCCGGGTCATTTCTTTAAGTAGTTTTTTAATATAAACTAACCAGTATCTCACTAATCAACTCACTCGGGACTTTGTATAAATCTTCTTGCTTGTGCTTTACATAATTTTCACCCCAACTTTCCTTACGGCCGCATGGCATCCGTTGCGCAGTTTCAATATGTTGATTATTAACCACTTTACCACAGTAGTCCTGAGTGGCAGCTACAAAGGGAGCCGTTTTTCAACACTGAACACAAAGTGCGGGGAACCAGTAACGCGCTGCCAAGCAACGTGACTGGCGGCCAGAACACTGCCAGTTGGAACAATGCAAGGTACTATAAAGAGTTATGTCCTTCATAGTTGCTTCGCACACCCATCATTGCCGGCTTCGCCTCAAACCAAAGAGCTCCACCTTGTCGATCTCCTGCGCGCAGCGACTGGCGGACCATTGCAGAACACTGGGACAATCTTCTTGGTCCAACTGTCGAAGCAAACCCGGCTTCTTCTTGGGAGCAGACTTTGCCTTTGGCGACTGCTTGCTGTTCGCGACCCCGACCTTGTGGAATGCGCAGTTGACTCCGGAGCTCGAAAAGGCGGAAATCTTGAGCATTCAGGAAGGTCCAGGTTGGCTTTTGATAAATTGACATGCGCTCACAACTGCCAAGGCGAAAGTGGCTTGCGGTGTGGGCCATTGATGGGTCGGATCCGACGGTGGAACATGGACTGATTCATTTGTGATGACAAGTGTGTGGAAATTGTGGCTGGCCTTGCGCCGGGCAACAAGAAATTGGGTTGAACAAGCCACAACCGAATAACCCAATTAACAAACTCCCATTCCGATTGCAAACCTACCCCAACCAAATTCCCCTAAGTGGCAAAGTCAGGAAACCAGGAAACAGCCATTATCTCCCTCAAAAAAAATTAAGAGGGCGTGTGTTGGGAAGGAATTTTCAATTTCATGGTAGCTTTCTGCAACCCTTCTTCTGGAAAATCTCTATCTTTCGTAAAACCCTTTTCTTTAAATTTAAACAACGACATTTAAAACAATCCGTTTTACTATAATCATCAATAAGCTAATGCCACCATGTTTGCTAATGCCATCAAGGACAGTTGCCATAATTAAACAGTGTCATTTTCTCTTGTCATATTAAGGTGTTTTTCTTTAAGGTTTTTTGTTTTTTAAGGGTTGGTATTTTGGTTTCAGTTTCATCATTTTCACTTTCAGCATCAGTACGGACGGGTATATCAGTTGGTGGTGCTATTTCATAATTAGCATTTTATTCAATTAACAGTATGCGTTGAAGAACTATTAAGAGTGATGGGCGGAGAACTATGAACACTAACAGGGGGCGAAGTGTTTAACTCAACTTCCTCACCAACATTTGTATTCAACCAATTCAGTATGGCACGTGCTATATCAAAAGACGATACTCATGAATTCATTGTTAAATTAACTAATAACTCTGAAATTTGAACTGTAGTTAATGTAGTGTGATATGTTAAGTGTGCTACTATTTGTCCTATACTAAAACCTGACCTCAACATAAATTCTGTAAACCTCATCATCATGAACAGCTTCTTTTTGTATTCTCCTTGCACGGAATACAGAGTAGCAAAGACAACGGAAATAAGAAACATTGAATATGCTAATAGTATTGAATTAAACGCATTAGAGATAATTGACTAATTCGGTTTTCCAAATTTAGACAGTCTTTTATGAATGCGTTAGGTTTAAAGATGTTGACTATTGTAAATATGGATTTAACTATCGTAAGAGAACGAGGTTATGGAACAATCTAACAAACTGGACATGGGGAGTGTGGAAACCCCGAAGTCTATGTAAAAAAGACTGGCACGTGTGTGGACACCTTTGCACGCAACTCTTAAAAGCGGCCAACGCTTGGACCTCCAAGGGCTCGTGCGTGTTTGTAGCGTGGGTACCAGCCGACAGCGACAGTTGTTGGGCAGAGGCCAGACATACGTGGACAATATGCACCACTGCCTCAGAGTCACCACGCAGCAGGCTGCCCAGAACATTCAGCTGCAGCCCGGGATGGTGGAGATAGACGGCACGCGCACAGCATCTGTCAAAAAGACTTTTGACAAGCGCTTGATGAAGCGCCCTGCAAAACGAAAGAGTGTTATCCAGAAGAAGCCTTGCATGAAGGTCATGAAAAAAAGCCTGCCGTTGCTTTGCACACAGGCCCTGGTCATCTTCTGTTGCTGGCACCCAAAGAGCCACCAGCGCTGGAACACCTGCGCCGCCGGAGAGCCGTCAGGAAGTGATGCCATACTTGTCGCAAAAGTTGAGCGACAAGAAGCATGTTATAGGGAGTGATGCTGCCACCGGCTTGAAAGCTGCTCGCAAGAAGCTCAACTTGCACCAGGCTGTTGCCAAGCACTCGCTTTCCCAGTACACGCCAGTCGTGCTTTTACCGAAGAGACACTTACCAAAAGCCGCTCTGCAAGCAATGCGCTCTGCCGCCTCTGTAAAAACAGATGTTCGGGAGAAGCGCAGCTCGCTCCAGCTTGTGGGGGGTGATCAGAAATGCGAGAATTTGGCTGGCCACAGCAAGAACCAAATGAGACGTCAAATGGAAAACGTTTTGCTAGCCTTGGCGGCATACAGAAAAGCACGCACACCCATCTCGAGCATTCAGTGATCTCACTTGGCTGGATGTGCCTGCGCAGTGAATCCACAGTCCCACGCAAACCATGCGAGCGACTTTGAATGCACCTGATTGAAGCCGCTGAAATACAGTCTTTCGAAACCTCATTTCATGCTTGTGACGAAGCGGTCAGGGCAACTCTGTTTCTCGTGACTAGTTCTTGCATTGTGCTTTGCATGGGTTTTTACAGTGTTTTCTTACATGTAGCATCATTGCAATGACACGGAGTGCGGCCAAGCTTTGTCGGTCACCTCGGACTCTTGTGACTGCACGATTGAGGCCGCGGCAAAACATGCCGATTGCGCCAACATGTTGGGTTGCCGGGCGGATACATCGTCACACCAACAGCCACGATTGATGACGCATACAAAGAAATCATTACATAGAAACTGAGTTGAGGGTAGATAATAATAACAAAGACCAATATGTATTTGATGAATATAACCCAAAAGCACTACAAAATATAATTGATACACAACATAAACTCATAGATTATCAAAAGAAAATAAGAATGGATAAATTGTTTAGTTGCTTCATCATTATTGGTGATTTCTCAGAAGCTAAACCATTTACAAGATACAGTAAAGTGTTGCATGGTCTCTGCACTAAATCTTGTTATTTTGTTTTATCTGTTCTTACTTCCTTGTAAACTACAACGCGCTAAGTCCTATTGTAGGACTTATATTTTCTACATATTTGAACAACAATGTGTGTGAGAGGTGGATACATTCATACCGGAACAATCAGCATTAGTTGATAAACAAGACTTTATGAGAACGTATCAAATAGTAGTTAATTCACAACCTTACAGTTTTGTTTTTGTTAAAATTCGTGAGAGTGATGTTAATAAATTATTTATTGTTCGGTTTGAAAGGAGATACATGCAACAGAAATCGACAATATTGATATGCTTTATATGTTGACTTAAAATGAAGAATAATTGCAAAGTGGAACTTCATATACTATGTGGTGTGTTTTTGGCGTTTTCTTCCAATGTACTTTGTTTTTCATGGTTAGCGTGTCTACACTTTTAATAAGCAGTCGCTCTCGTGTTTCTGCAACATCAGTTCTATTTGATTTATCAAGAGGCGTATTATCAATATCAGATTTTTGTTGCAAAAGAAAACATCATGTTTAAAATGTGTTTGCTATTTGCTAAATATTCTACACGATAAATAAGTTTTGACAAAGCATCCCAATTATTACAAGTAATTGTGTCATAACTCATTGTTAGATATTCTCCTTCATCATGTACAACACCATATTTAGTTGGTGTCACAAGAGGATTTGGAGGAATTGAGCTAAATATTGTAGTTCAAACCCACTTGAAGGGTAGATAGCTTATAAAAGTAGATGATGGAAAGGAAACATTGCGCCTGTTGCGGATGTTGTTGTAAGAGTGTGAATTCATTTGCGGATAGTTCTAAAACGTGTACCAAATGTCTTGAAAAGCAGAAAAGTCTGAAACAAGGCAAAGAGATGCGGTGAAGCGGGGGAAAAACAATGTTGCTCCCATTGTAAAAGTTCGTGCAAAGATTGAGTTATTTTCAGAAGATCGTAAGACATGCGACAAATGCCAAGCCAGGCAGGTAAAATACTCAAAAGCATACCGGGCAACAACAAGCAAGAAATAAGAGATTTTAACAAAGAATATGGACAACAATACTTTCATTGTTCTGTTTGTGACTACGAAATTCAATCAATGCATAAGGCACGGCTCGAAAGAGCTAAGAAGCACATAGAGAAATAGAAAAGAATGAGGTTAAGGATAGTTGAATTGCTTAAGTGTTTTGCTTTTTTTCAAATGAACAACTTAAAGCAATGCTTCTTTGTGTTTAGTTGGGCACGTGTTGACAAAACTTATATGAGTTTTGATATGAGGCGGGCGGTGTGAAATCTTCCGGCGGGTCTGCGCATACTGGGCAGATAGGTTGGTTGCAGGCTACCGCTTGCTGTGGGCGGGTGTGGGTGAATGGGCGGGTGGGCGAGTGTGAGAGAATGATTGTCAATAAGCATCTCTCAGAGTCTCATGTTTTGCAGCTTGCAATCCAGATCCCAAACGAAGCAATTTGCTCTTCCACCGAGGGCCTTCAACCCTCAGGGCCTAGGATGAATTCTTTGCACGAATTAATGCTGCTTTGCAAATTCGTGCGGAGGCAAAACACGGCAAGCAACGGGCACGCCACAAGGATCTGAACGGCAATAGGCAAAACCTCATGGCCTGAAATGGCTGAGTCTGACTCCGCAAGGTGAGAAAAAAAAAAACTACGCCAAGGCGTTTCGTGGCGTTTCGGCGCCGATGTCCACATGTCCAACTTCAAGTCGGCCTGTCAGCATCAGCGTCGGGGCCTGAGCGAGGCGCTGCTTGATATGTCGCACTGGCAGCGCTGTTTTCTGAAGCAAGTGAGGCGCACGCGGAGCCATGACCTCACCGAGGCTAAGTGCATGCCGAGCTGTGAAGCGAAGCTCAGCGCTCGGCAGCAGTCGCCGCCATAGCGAGCGACCTCTCCTGGTCACGCGCACCCTCATCCGTCCCTCAACTTCGAGTCCGGGGCCGTGGCCTCTGCGTGCCTCGGACATTTGGAGGGTACGGAAGTTCTCCCACCGATTCTCCCGCTCTCACTCCGTGCCGCGCTGCCCAACAGACACCTGCCGCACAACCAGCGGCGCGGTCAGAACCTGGCAAGGGCCATCGCTGGCTTTCCGCCATCTGTCCACGGAATTCTAGCGCCCGCCTGCGCTTGCGGAAAGCCGGTCGGAGCGACCTCCCGAGGAGTAAGACAGCCTCAGGCAACGATGCGGGCACCCCAACCCAACAAGTTTGTTCGAGGCCTTCCAGCTGCACGTAATGTGGACAGAAATCTGACTGCCAAGCTTCTTCGTGACAGCCACTTAGCAAATTCAAGAAACTGAGGCTGAATCTCGTGACAAATCCCCTCCTTCACCAAAAGGTCGGTACGAGTGGCATTTGCTGCAAGCCGTTCGCTTCACGATTCGCCCCAACTAATTAATTAACCAACCAACCAACCAACCAACCAACCAACCAACCAACCAACCAACCAACCAACCAACCAACCAACCAACCAACCAACCAACCAACCAACCAACCAACCAACCAACCAACCAACCCAAAGGCCGCTAGATTGAGTAGCGGCATAACAGCCTCAACAAACAATAAGTCTACCCTTTTCCCCAAAACTCAAACCCGAAGCAGCCCAACGCCCAAACCCTAAACTGAGATGATGCTCCTTGCTGCGTGCTTTGGCCAATGCTGCAGAGTTGCCACATCTGTCCACGTCTATTCATACATGTTCATGCCATGGCATATCGCTTCATATCTGTTCGCTGCTTTTTCATTTATGTGCATATCTGTTCATATCTGTAAATCTGTTCAACTATGCTCACATCTTGTTATACTGTTGCATATCTGTTCATATCAGCTCATGTCTGTCCACATAGTTTCATCTATGTTTGTATATGGTCGTATTGATCTATCCTTCCATATATTTGCGTATCGGTTCATGTGTTCCTATCCTGTCATATCTGCTCGTCTTTCCAGATGCCATACATTCCCAAATATGTTCATGCATCTTGATTTCCTGTCAAATAATGTCATATCATGTCGTATCTGTGCATATTGTTTCGTGTCTGTTCATGTCATATCTTCTTTATCGCTTCATATCCTTCATGTGTGATGATATCTTCATTCATATCTGTTCACAGATGTTCATGAATATGTTCACATCTTGTCATATCTTTGCACATCTTGTCATATCCGTTCATATCTTGTCTCACTTACTTTCAGTTCTGAAACTGTCATGTTCGTTCATATAATGTCATATTTCTTGTCATATCTTGTTGTTTCAAATATTTCATATCATTTGATACAATTTCGGTGTCATATCCCGTCATTTTTGAAGTTCAAGTCTCATACCTGTGCGCATCTTGTCATCTTTGTTTTATGTCTTGTCATATCCTTTCACATTCTAAGATACTATGTCAATCCTTTAAGATATCTGTTCATATCTGTTCATATCTGTTCATATCTGTTCATAATATCTGTTCATGTCTTTTGCAGCCCTCCTTCTCGGTTTATCTGTCTGTTTTGTTCTCCCTCTCTCCGTCACTCTCGCTCAGCTGTCGGCCACTCCAGCTGCGCGTCACCACGGGCGGCTGCCAGGAGCCCACGGCAGTGGCCACGGGCCCAGGCACGTAGGACGGGACGCCTCCGAAACCCACGGAGCTGACATCGGAACTCTGCCCAACAGCTGATCTGCGTTGAAAACTCTCGCACACCAGCTGAAGTCTGGAAGCCCCTCAATTTCTGGCAATTTACTCCCGATCCACTTGCTGCTGGGCTGCCATTCAGCGAGATGCCACGGCTGATGGCGGTTGGAAAAGGCCTGGGCCTCCCGAAATCAGACGCCCTTCAGCATGAGACCTCTCGGACGAAAACCTGGGGCCCCAGCGCTGGCTCTGGCACCGGCCTCCGGGTTGAGCACACATGCCCAAGACACAGACGTGACCGGAAGCTTCAAATCGCTCTCTCTCAGGGCACTCTGTGCTTGGGGCGGCGAGCTTCTCCCTGGTGTGGCCTCGGCCCAAGACATCTGCCTTGAGGCCATGTCCCTTAACAGGCCCTCACCGCCATGGCCTGAGCAGCCATGCGCATGGCGGCAGGAGACGGCCTTGGCATGCGGCCCATGCGGCCCATGCGGCCCACGCAGATGCCCCGAACACTTCTTGGAGTCCAGCTGCCGCACCATCGAGAACTGAGGGCTTGCGAGCGCTCCGTGCCCTAAATTCCACTCATGCCCCAACCTCGGCCTTGACCGCCTCCTTGACCTCGGCTCTCACCTCTCTCACCTTCCGGGCCAAGTTCGGTCCGTCTTAGCCAGCACTCGGAGAGGCCGCACGCACGTCCCGTTTTGGATGCCATCTCTCAAGCTCGGGCTCCGCATAACATGGGCATGTCCAGTGCCGACTGCCATGCCTTTTCGGCAGAGGCAGTTCGCACGGGCAAGCCCTTAAAACTTTCGGCTTTGGCCAATTCGGCCCTGCGAAAAACGCCTTACTTGAGAATCGGCATGCTTTGCCTTCTGATCATCCGGGCGCATGCCAGGGGGAAGTCGTTGTCGGGGAGGTAGCACTGGGTGCCCACGTGGCAGGTGGCGCTGCCGGACTGGCGGGCTACCGACGGTCCAGCGATAGAAAGCAGCAATCTTGCTGATTGCTAAAAGCTGAAATCTGTCCAACCCACGTCAACCCGCGACCCTCAGTCCTCGAAGTCCGCTTGCACTGCAGCATCTGACACGTCAGCATACGCAGGATTGGAAAGAATTTGCTCCTGGTAGCAAAAAGATGACATGGATTTCACGAGGTCAGAGAAAACCTGATGGACTGAGAAAGCCAAGTCCTCTTGCTCCTCGTCCGAAGCTGTGCCAGGCAAGGAATCCGTTGGAATGACGCCTTTCACGACGTGGACTTGAGAGTTGCTCTTACGGACGAACGGCATGGCGCTGAGGCCGGCTTTGACCTTGGGCAAAACGCAGTGCCTCTCCCAACATCAAACCCTTCCTTCGATACGCCAAGACACAGTGCCAGCCAAGGAAAAGCGCGCTTCCTCGTTCTCCAGGCCTAAACTTTCCTGGCCCAAAGCAGCTCGCTGAAATCCGCCACACTCTCACGTCCTTGGAATCCCTCCGTCTCAGCTTCGTCAGAAAGGCAGCCACTCCAGTGATACCTGGAAATCGGAACCTGATCCTATCCGATAAAACCCGACCCACCCCGAGCCTGGACCTGGAGCTCCATTGGCGGCATGTCCCCGAAGCTCCTCTGTCGCCCTGCGCCAAGACCCGGCCACCAGCGGCACGGCGGCACGGACACCGAAGACGTCTCAGTCCTAGCCCTACGAAGATCTTTTTGCAGATGCCGCTGCTCTTGGCGAAGCTCTGCAATGAAGGTGTCCTGCCCAGATTTCAGGTTGGTGTCCGGCGTTGTGCCACTGGTGTGCGCACCCACCTTCTGCGCGCTCTGCTGCCTTAGGCAGCGCTCGCGCCCGCGAAGCTCGTCAAGCTCATTCCCCAGCTCTGACAGCCTCATTGGCGCTGGCCTTTTCGTAGATGTTTGCCATTTCCGTGTTACACAGGCCTTGTCAACAGGCCTCCCTTCCACTCGTCCACCAGCTCTTGCCACTCCTTGAAGTCCGCTACAGCTTGGTCTCGAATCAACAAGAACTCGCGCTGGCACTCAGAACCTCAGAATCGAGCTCAGATATCTTGCACGCGCGCCAAAACCCTAAGACGTTGCAAGGCAAACATGTTCCTTGCGAATTATGTGTTTGTTCCACGTTTACACGGCATGCTCCAGACTGGACTTGCTTGCGGACAGTTCCACATTGCTTGAGACTTCTTCAGCCAATCCAGTGATCGGCTAGACAAGGTACAAGGGCTTCAATTCATGTTGTGTCGATGTGTGATTTTGGGGATGCAAAATCTGTCCTTCCCTCTGTGCACTGGACTTCCTTCAGATGCGAGGTCCAGTGATGACATCATCTTGTCGAGGGCATCGAACACCAACTCGTGCTGAGCTGGGCGTAGTTTCAAGCCAAACCTTCAGGGACGAAATGCGGAAGAATCTGCGCGTGCTGGTTCCTGGCCTCTTGTGGGCTCTAAGCGCTGGAATGCTCACATCCAGGTACAGTGTGGTGAAAGGCTGCCTGATGCAAAGATGCGAAGTGCCATGGGAAGGGAATGAGAGACTGAGATCCGGGCACCTCCATTTGCAGACCGTTCTAAGCGCCCTTTGGGTGCCTCTTGGAAGCTCTGACGATTGAGCGTTGCTCGCAAAGCTTTAAATGGAATGTTGCAAAGAAGCGCTTTCTTAGTGTACCGGGGGAGCTCGACTGGAAAAGTATCTGCTGGCTGGTCAAAAGGCTCGGACGTTGACAGCTGCGGCAGTCGTAAAACCAACGCAAGACCGACCACCCGTGATCTGTTGGCCATGGAGAGGTCAAAGAAACGCAAAAAGAACCGCGCCTGCAGCTGCGGCTGTGCCTGCGGCGGCTGTGCCTGCGGCGGCTGTGCCTGCGGCTTTGGCTTTGCTGACTGCGCCTGCGGCTGTGCCGGCTGTGCCGGCTGTGCCTGCGGCTTGGGCTGCTTGGGCTGTGTCAGCACAGGCGCTGGCACCGGCGGTGCCAGCACAGGCGCTGGCACCGGCGGTGAGGGCTGCCCGGCGTGGGGAGCCGGCTCTTGCCTGGCGACGACTTGAGGCTCCGGTGCAAAACTGCAATCTGGGCTTGCGGACGCAGCTTCCAGCATGGACAGTGCAGAGCAAGCATGCCGAGCTCCACTCTTGCGCAAGGATGACACGGTCGTCCTTGCGGGAACCTCCTTGGGCAAGGTCAACATGCGAATTGCTTGCGACTGTCAGAAATCTCGAAACCTCTAAGCAGGTGTCGCACTTTGGACCGCAATGCCTCAGGCTTGCGGAGCCCTGAGAACGCTGAGCCAGGGAAGTCTAAGGTGTGCGCCTTGTTGTACCGGCGCACCAGCTCATTCGGCACCTCAAGTTGGAGTGGGTGACTGACACATCCACACCATCCAGACCGTGCACAACGTCGACACCTGCTTGCCGTCCAAGGTGTAGTCAGCTGCTTGCTCTCTGATGCATGCCTGCTCCTGCATCACGGATACATTGAGTAAGAGGGAAGAAAAGAGAAAAGTGCCTTTCTGCCTACAACATCGGTTACAAATTTCCGCTTTGTCCAGGGATGGTCCAGGCCTTCGCGACTTTCATCGCATCCAGTCTGCTGTACCTGCCAATCAGCCGCTCACGAAATCTGTCTAGTGCCAGCGGCACTGCTTGTGCTTGTCGTCGAAGGTCATCCGCTTGTCCTTTGGAACCTGAGGAAGGGAGGGAGGGGCGGCGCCATTCCCGAGCCATGTGAGACGCGAGCCTGATGCAGGGCAGTTGTGCAAACGACAGTTTCAAGGTCGTACTGCTTGTTCTCCTTTACAGTCGGCTTTGACAAGTGTTCTCACATTTTCAAAGTGGAGAGCAGAAAGCAGATGTAAAAGAACATGGACGGAGCCAAAGGAAACGGGACATCAGAGGCACCTCGCTGTACCTCAAGTAGTCGATCAAGGGTTGGTGCCTGAAGCTTGCACATGCGAGAATGTCGCTATATGATGCACTAGCTTCAGGACAAAGCCACGAACAAGCACGCGTTCTGTCAGCTGGCGTCTGCGGGCCAGCCATCAGTGTCTTGGCAGCTGACATTGGGCCATCCACGACCATTGGACAACCTCGCCTGCAAACCAGGGCTCTCTCCCCCTCTGCTCTCTCTCTCCCTCCCCCTCTCTGTCTCTCTCTGTCTCCCTCTCCATCTCTCGAATGCTCAAACTGACTTTACGCTAAGATTGCTGCTGCCCAGGCTCCGTGGCATGCTTCCATTCAATGTTCACCTCTGGGGCAAAACAGCAAAATGCCTTGAGCAGCATACTTGCTCATGTCATGTCTCATCTGCCTCGTGGCCGTCTACTAGGTACACTCCTTCAGTGACCTGCTGGACCTTCCTTGACCTCGGGCCGCAAGATATCATCGCGTTTGGAGCAGCTTGTCTGAATCACAAGTCGTGAGAGGAAGTGCCTGCCTGGCCACATCAGGGTTCTTCCTCATGATATACAGCACGTGCTGATGAATGAGGTCCTAGGCTGCGCATGCAATTGGACAAACAATCACAGGCTCGCAGGGTAGGGTCGACGTTTGCTCAAACTGCCTTGTTTCAAACATTTTCAAACAATCACCGCCCTGGCCTCATTTCGTCCTGGAAGTGTAGGAACCCTGGGTGACTGAGAGGTTTGCCTGACCTCAAGGGCCGCTCAGCGCATGCAAGTCTGAGTCTATGAAGTCTGTGAAGTCTGTGAAGTCTGTGAAGTCTGTGATATGCACGCTGTGTCACAAAGTCCAAGACTGCCCTCTCCGCGCGGATCTCCCGCTCTGGACCTCTCGAGCTCGCAACTTGCGAGGGCCGCGTCTGACCCGAGGGGCCAGGCTCTTCGGATCGGGGAAGCCCAAGCGTGAAGGAGTCGCGCTGCGCCTCTTAAAGCAAGGCACAACGGCAAGCGTTCCAAAGCGTTCCAAGCGCTCCTTGCAGGTCCTCGCGGGGAATCCTAAGTCTCCAGATTCGGGATTCGGGATCTATCTGGCAATCTTTTGCTTTGCATTCATGGGCTTGCCAGTCTCAGTCAGGTGCTTGGAATCCAGCTCGTGGCGTGTGCTCCATCGAGCCCTCTGCCCTGCCCACGAGTGACGGCTGGCCAAGGAAGCTCAACAAGTATTGGCCTGATCATCAGTGGACCGGGAGACCTGCATCAAAGCTCACAGCACCCAAAATGGAAAGCACGCCGCTCTCACCTGCGTGGAGACGTGGAGCCCCTTCCCCATGAAGCTCCCTGAGTTGGCAGGACGGCTTGCCACTGTACATCTCATGCACGGATTTGCGCACTGAGGCGCGGACATGCGTGGCTCGGTGCAGAGGCGGGCCGCTCGGGGCCGGCGCACTCTTGCCGATGGGCTCCTTCTCCCACAGCGCCGCCAATCCCAAGGGCGTGGCCTGAGCATCCCAGGTTCCTGGTTCCCAGTCTCGAGAACACCCTGCGCTCAGCATCCCCAGCATCCCCAGCATCCCCAGCATCCCCAGCATCCCCAGCATCCCCAGCATCCCCAGCATCCCCAGCAGCCCCTGCATATCCCATGCAACCCGCTACGCCAGCCCACAAACGAACCCAGCCATCCCTGAACCAGGCCTTAATCAATGCCAAGATCCCCATACCAACTCTAAGCCCAAACTCACCCCAACTCTAAACCAAGCAACCTCCTAAGCCCTCTTCTGCGGAATTGCTTCGGCGCCTCTGGGGATTCAGGCGAGCCCCGGAACCACTAATCCGAAAGCCACCCCCAAACACAAAAACCCGCTGAGCCCCACCATGGAAAAATTGGGAGCCTGATCACATGGTTCATGTGCCGGAGGTGTGAGGCCAAGACTACTGGCCGCCCTCCGAAGTGCAAAGCTCCTGACAGAAGACTCTCTCTCCTGAGAGAGAGAGAGAGAGAGAGAGAGAGAGAGAGAGAGAGAGAGAGAGAATAAAAAATGATAAAGGCAGGAGTTGCACGTCCTGAGCCCCGCCCCACAGAACCTAAAGGCTCAGGGCCCACAGCAAGGATGGCGTCGTGCTGGGGCTGCAGCTCGGCGGGGTGTAGGAACACCTTGCAATGGGAAATTCGAAATTCACCACGAGCTTTCGGCTCACGCGCCTGGAGGGGGGGGTGCTGGAGCGCTCCTCGAGCCCAAGTGCATCTGGCAACCCGACCCCCTGTCAAGTGATACTGGGTAAGAAGGGACTCCTTTTCAAGTTTTGGAAGTGCTCAGAGTTCTTCTGTTTACGACTTGGCCAAAGTAGCCTTCTCTCTGGTTGGTGATTTGGATTGGTGGTTTGAGTGTTGGAAAACGGTTCCCAATTTACACTAGGTTCGAATCCCCAGTTACATGATAAACCGGAAATGGTGGCTTTCCCTTTTTCCCTACAAAACCCAACAGCAAGGGTACTGACTGACTCGAAATGTCACACATCTGTCCTGATAAGGCCCAGGATAGCTTGCCACTGCCTCGCTGAGATCAGGCCACAGGGCTACTGAAGCAGCGCTGAGGCTCAGACAGCCGTCATCAGCCGCTCACCCTCCGCACCTGCCATGCAAAACGGAGGGACGCAAATGGGCCGAGAGGGCCAGGCCGGGTCAACTGAAAGTCGCAAATGGCAAAATACACTTGGACGCAAGGGCCAAAACTGCAGTGTCCGGAAGTGCGACTTGGCAATTGCCAATTGCCAAGACCGTTTAAGCCCCGGCTCAAGCAAGAATAAACAAACACCGCTGGTCTGATCCGTTCCGGTTGAACAAATATGCGCCGGCTCAAGTCAATAACAAGTTCTGGACCAAATCCAAAAAAAACTACAAGGACACCAAATCTTCACTGGCGGGGATCTGCCCAAACCGGAGGGTCGCAAACACAGAACAAGGTCGCATGCCAGCGCCATGTTTCTACATCTGGAATGTCAAAAAAGAACGGCTGAACCAAGATGGAATATGTTGGCAGTGAACAAGATTAAACAATTCTGACATATAGAAGCATTGGACATCAAATGCCGCACTTCACTGCATAGACAAAACCAGCACAAACATATGCATGTAATTGCATACGAAGATGGCTAACCACACGCAAAAATGACCCCCACTGTGCCCAACCCTTTGGCTAGGGGAATTTGATTGCGGGTAGGTTTTCAATCGGAATGGGAGTTTGTTAATTGGGTTATTCGGTTGTGGCTTGTTCAACCCAATTTTTTGTTGCCCGGCGCAAAGCCAGCCACAATTTCCACACACTTGTCATCACAAGGGAATCAGTCCATGTTCCACCGTCAGCTCCGGCCCATCAATGGCCCACACCGCAAGTTTAGCTTGGTCACTTTCGCCTCGGCAGTTGTGAGTGCATGTCAATTTATCTGCTCAAGATTTCCGCCTTTTCGCTGCGGGTTGCCTTTTGGGGCCATTGTGCGTGTTTTTCGCCCACGGTTCTTTTTTGCCAAATGCCCGGTTTCCGTCAAACGCGTTAGCTAAGACCTGCTCTAGCTTGAACCCAAACAACCCTCACAAAAGGGAACCCACAAAGCGAGAAGAGCGCGCATTCCTTTTTGACCGGGTTGGTGGCAAGCTTCTAGGGCACGCGATGCACCTAGAGCAAGGGCTCACCCCCCCGTGAAACCGATTAAAAGCGCCAGACATGTTAAGGCATGTTGCACTGCTCCTATCTTGGACCCAAACCAGACCACCCAAAAGAACAAAGCAAGTCCGAAGCGGCCGCAGTTCTTTTAACCGGGATTGCTGAAAGTAGCACTGCTTCCAGGGCACGGATGCGCCTGGAGCAGGAGGTGCGTTGACCCCCCGTGAAACTTAAAGGCAAGACAGTGCGTGTCCTTGCAGGTGCGTGCAGTGCGCGCAAGGCGTGGCAGGCGTGCCCACGCCGGTCCGGAGACCTGGTGGTCCTGAGACCGTAGGCGGTCCGGAGACCTAGAGGTCCGGAGACCATCAATGGAAGTGCAGAGCTTCTGCAACTTCCCTTAAGGGATCTCGAGGCCTAAACACTTAAAATGAAAATGCAAAAGGTACCTGTCGCAGTTGCACACTTTTGCCAGCGGGGATAGCAGCTGAGTCTCAGCCACAGGCTCAGGGCTAGGCTCAAGTGAAACGCGAAATCAGCACCAGGGATGGGAGGGTGGGCCAAAAAGAAACCAAGACAGCGAGACAAAAAGGGGGAACCCACCCACCTCCCTGAGCCGAAACTTCGGATACAAGTATTTAGGACGCAGCTGATGCAGCTCCACTTCGCTCCCTTAAGGTCGAATCTTGTTTTCAACAAGAGTTTCAACTTAAGGGATCTCGAGGCCTAAACACTTAAAATGAAAATGCAAAAGGTACCTGTCGCAGTTGCACACTTTTGCCAGCGGGGATAGCAGCTGAGTCTCAGCCACCCCCACTAGACAAAGACTCTAGCTGCACAAACCATTGGCCTATCACGGGCGTCTTCAAATCTTCAGGTAACCACGGTTCGTTCTCAAACCGTGATGGTGCATCAGCGGGGTTGGCTGTGGCCAACCACGAATACCAGGGAATACACTGACAGGTGAATTCCATCTGCAACAAATCACACAAACACTGTTGGGCCCATTTGACCGCAGTTGTGCCTGACGCAAGAGCTGCTTTGGTCGCCTGGTTGTCAACAAAGAAGACGCAGTGCCTCTGGCTGAGGAATTTGTCCCAGGCTTTGTAGGCCATCCAAACTGCTATGAGTTCAAGCTCGAAAATGATTTGGCCTTTCCTTCCATGGCCAATGTTGTTCAGCGTTGACACTGGCACCGTGCTAGAGTACCAAGCCACAACGTTTCCACGCGGATCCACAAGTCCTCCCAGGCCAGCTGCATTGTCAGATTCAGGTTCATATGATGCATCTGTAAAAACGAGCCAGCACTCATGGGATGTAACATGCAGCCTGCGTGGCTCCCCTGTCACAACACGAAGCTTCAGCATTTGCAGGGCATGGCTGAAGTCACCACTAAGCCTGGACGTCTTCGAAGTATAGGCATGCTCCGTGAGTTTCCTCATGAGCAAAACTCCTACACGTCCCATAACCTGGTTTTCCGCAAATCCGAGCCGACCACGTAACTGCAAAGCAAGGGCAGGACTCAAAGTCCCAGCGCTAATGACCTTATCCAGCAGCAGCCCCAGTTCTTGTTTTCTGGCGTTAGTGTTTGACAGGGAAATGGATCCCTCAGGCGAGCTGTCAAGGTTGAGCATGACACCCAGTATGGCACACGCTCTCGCGAAGGGTGTAGCCTTTTTTCCAGTCCTGTCAAAATTCCATCCCAGCAAGTCAAGCAAACATTCCACTGTGCTACCTGTGCACTGTTGCAGAGAAGTCCGACTGAAAGTAACAAAGTCATCATAAAAATGGGTCCAGGTCAATCGAAAGAGCACAACACCAACATACCAAATGGCGTGGGCCAGCCGGAGGAAAGCCATAACACTGTGAGTTGCTCCAAATGGCAGCACATGAAGTCTGATCCACATAGGCCTCAAGTGCTCAGGCGACCACACAATGACCACTGCATGCTGCTTTCCATCCTCGGCCAGAGGAACCTGTTTGTAGGCTGACTTCAAGTCAACCGTTCTAATGAGCAGCGGGTCTTGATTTTCCCGCCGGCTGTTCTTGGTGAACTCGAGGGACAAGCACGCCACGTGATCAATGCCATGTAAATCAGGCTTCTCCTCCATCGTGGCTGTGGCATTGACAGAACTGCAAGAGAAATCGTCTATGAGTCGTATCTTGGTCGATTGTCGAATTCCAAAACGACGGCTTGGAGCACAGTCACATGGTAGAGTGCTCACCTCAAAAGGACCGTCCGCCCAACCCGCTGCACATTCTTGCAGGGTATCATGCCACACAGCCCTGTCTAGTTCCACGTCATCCGACTGCCTGACCATCGACAAAACTGCCTGCTGAATCTTGGTAGAGTTTGCACACAATTCTTCTGCAGACAAAACGCCAGGTCGAAATCTCTTCGCAAAAACATTTGACTTGGGAATTGGCCCATGCAAGGAAAAGCCTTTCTGGAACTCGCAAGCCAAACTCTTGTCAGGATACCCCGAGGCTGAAAGCATGTCACGGAAAAGCAGCACACGCTTGGCAGATAAAATGCGCTGCAGAGGCCCATGCAACCCGTCCTTCATAGCCTTCTCTTCGGCCGACAGATCACGGGCTCTGAGTATCCAATGCTTTAGAGTCAATGCTCTAAAGGACGCCACAGCATGAGGTTCACTTTCTTCACAAAAATTCACCGCATCCCGCAAATCATGTGGAATAACATTGAATACATTGCGAGGGTGCCCTTTCTCGCACGCTTCACGAATAAATTCACAAGGCGTCCAGAAAATTCCAATGGCAAAGGAAACAATACCCTCGCCAGAAGGTTTGTCAAAAATGCTCAAATCTCCATCACGTAAATGCTCATCGAACGCGCTTGAGCGCTTATCAAAAATGCTCGAGCACTCTTCTTGAGTTTGTCCACCGTCACCCCCTTTGACAGACAAACGTAAGATCTTGGAGTGATGTGGAACTAAATGAACTGCAGGCTGAGCAGAAACAGAATCAGGCACGAAAAAGTCATGTGTCAACTTGAATCCAGGTTTCCAAGAAGCAGGAAACATAGCAGATTGCCCAGTGAGAGTAACCACAAGCCTGTAATGTGGAACAAGTGGTGGCAGCTTACTGGCCTTGCTGACAGTGCCAGTCTGGACCTTGGCATGCTCAAATGTCACGCCTGAGTCCAACGCACAAAGGACTTGCGGGGGTGCTTGGACACCGCATTTGACCAAATATTGAATTAGAAGATCTGCAACAGCATGGCAAAATTCACTTGTGTATTCTCTTTCGAGACTTGTGGCCCACACATACTGCCCAGGATGTGCGGGATCTTCAACTCTGCCCCACGATGCATGTTGATGAGAGTTGTCACAAAGTCGATTCATGGGGTCAAAAATTGGTGTGTTGGCGACAAGCTTTGTTTTCTTGTTCCTTTTTGAACCAAGCACGCACATGTGCAGCAGGATAACGTGTTGAAGACGATCGGGGACCATGGCCCAAAAAGATGTACACCACATCCAGCTGGAAGCCGGATTCTCAACCATGCACAATGTGTCAAGCTCACAACAGCGAATAAATAGTCGGGTCGTGAATTCGTAAAGAATATTTGCCGATGCAACCTTGTCGGCATTGATGGAATTAAGGTTTGGTACTCCATCAGGATACTTCGCTGTACGTAAAGGCTCTGGCGCAAAAGGACCAGCATCAATCTCTCGCGCGCGGCTCGATGTTCCGCACGGTGGAGCTGCGTGAACAAAAATGCACATCGGGCTCTCAATCCACTGCAGCAACAAGTCTTGATTTGCTTTGCAAGTCAAGTCAAGGTTGATGACCGGCCCAAAAACATGTTTAGGGGTTTTGTGATCAACCCCAAACGAGCTGCTCATACCAAAATGGCGAGCGGTAGCTGTCAAGCGCGCACAACCGGAGAAAACCTCGACAATGAAGCACTCGCTCAACGATCGATGCCGCATGCTTTGTCAGACATGTTCGAATGCTGCGTGCGCCTGCTGACATCGGGGCTTGGCACAAACGTGAAGACCTCTTGCGCAACGTTCTCCTGGGGTTGTGTTGGAGGCACACCCCTTCTTGGTGTTATAACCAAAACAGATAGGATCCCCAGTGGACGTGCGGTAATACATACCTCTGAGTTCTTCTGGCATGGCAGGCACGCGTGATTTGCCTTTGCCCTTGCTCTTGCCCTTGGACGGGCCATGCTCAGGTCTCGACCATTTGTTCTGGTGGCCAGCTGAGTAGGAGCTGGCTGCGTGATCACCTGAACGCTTCCTGTCCTCACCAGCGGTAGACGATGCTCTTGGCAAGGGCATTACATGGTACATGACTGAAGGATTGGAAATCATATTGTTGAAAATCGCATCCAAGGGCTTAACACCGCAAATGCCAGACTTGAGATCATGAGCACATCTGGCGGCTTCCACCCAGGCGGATCTGTCACATCGAAGAACCTGGACCAATGTAACCTTCTGGAAACCAGCAGGCACATCCCTGCTGAGAAGCATGAAAAGGTGGTTCACCCACCTTTGGTGGCTCAGGTAGCTCTGCAAATGGGCATAGTGCAAGGCAAGTCCTCTGCGCTGGAGAGCATGGAAAACTTGCATTTCGGTGCCAGTGGGAGCCTCAATCAAAACCTGTTTGTCTTGCACAGTCAAACTCCCCTGGTCAATTGTGATCTCCTTCACCGGCTTCTGCTGCTGAATCTCTGCAGTTCGAGAGGTGCACTTCGACGGGGGCAAATAGACTAAAGCCTGTGACTCTCTCATTTTGACAACCGCTTGCTGGTCTAATTCATCTTTCATCTCAACACCAGTAAGTTCCTTCGTCACCTCGTCCAGTCTGGTACGCCGCTCAACTGGGGGGACCCTCTTGCTTGTAGAGGAGTCCGGGTCTTCCACCGCCTGACGAAGCGCAGCAATGACCATTGTCTGACTCTCGAAAAGCAGCCGCTTGAGTTTCGCCACTTCCTCCATAGTCGGGGGAGATCCCACAACTGTTTCCAACCATGTGGTAAAATTTGTGTCATCAATGGCTTCCCCTGGCTGACCATGCGCATAGCTGAGTGTGGCCAGGGTAGTAATACCATTTACTACAAGTGCATCTGTCACCCTGGCAGGCAAACCAATGTCACCGCAACGCTGCTTGAATGCAGCTGCACTCTCAATCAGTGAAACCATGGCTCATGCAAACGGACTACTGGTTCAGTTGTATGGTTTTTTTAAATCGATTTGCAGCGTTTGCTAGGTTGGCACGCGTTGCAAAGTCAAGTCGGTTTTGCTCTCAGGAAAATTAGATAAAACAAATGCACCACCATGACGACTGCCCTTAGGCATAAACATTCTGTTTGAAGACCTGCTTTCAGGTAAACTCTTTTGAGCCATTGCTCCACAAGATGCAAACACATGGCACTCAAATTGAAACTGCCAATCATCTGCTCCAATCGCTCTCAAGCGTGACAAATCCCACTTGCACGACGCAACCTTTGGCGCCACATATTCATACTGTCCAAATTGGCTCAAAATGGCCCTTAGGCCCAAACTACTTGGCGACTCCCGCAATTGACATTGGACATTGATGGGGCAATGCCCTCACTCATCATTTACCTGTAGAATCGAGCCACACAAGTTTCCCATTCTGCTAGCCTTTGCAACAGTGGGAGGCATGCACCTCATGCATTGGTGATATCTTCCAGGAATGTCGTACACCTTGGTGAACATGTTTGTGATTGGCCTTCCGCACGCAAGGAAGGTCCCCTTGCCTGTCTGATCCTGGTTTGCTCGATGGAAAATTGAACTCTTCAAGTGTATCCATCCTTCTTATGACCAAGGCCACTGTTGCAGCGGCTCGAGCCAAAAGGCAAACAAGAGGCGCACACGCACACGAACAAAGCGAACAACGCAACACGAACAGGAGAACCACAACCCGCGAGGCGCATAAGAGCGGAGCTCTAAAGTGTCCACGCGCACATCGGAAGACACTATTTTCACGACCGGCGAACAAGGGGAGTGCATACATGTTTGCTGTGTCTCTTAGACACAGCCACGAAAGTCTTAAGCCGCATCTCTTTAATACGGCAACTTTCTCTTCGTCCCCCGCCCCAGCGGCACCACAGGACCGCAACGCGGTATGGTTTTCTTCAACAGGGAGGGCGGGTGGGAAGAAAACAAATTCGTCTCACTGTTTGTTGGCACTCCATCATGTCCCTTTGGACCCTCGTGCCAAAATGCCACGACACCCTGTTCAATAGTGAGCCATCAACTATTGAAAACGTCGTGACATGTTAAAAACCCAGCATGTTAAAAATTCCTTCGCACGTTCAAACCTCGTAGGTAGACATGACACAAATGTCAAGTAGGTTCAACACGCTGGCAAAACGTGGCGCCACGACTTGGTGTAAACGTGTTTACACTCTTTCGCGTCAGCAACAGCGCTCAACTTATTTCGCTATGGCCAAGTCATAAACAGCCATTGGTGAACCAACAGCAAACTTATGACCAAGGCCACTGTTGCAGCGGCTCGAGCCAAAAGGCAAACAAGAGGCGCACACGCACACGAACAAAGCGAACAACGCAACACGAACAGGAGAACCAAGAACCCACCACCGCGATGAGCGAAGCGCCGCGTGGAGGGACCATACCAGGGCAGGAAACCACAACCCGCGAGGCGCATAAGAGCGGAGCTCTAAAGTGTCCACGCGCACATCGGAAGACACTATTTTCACGACCGGCGAACAAGGGGAGTGCATACATGTTTGCTGTGTCTCTTAGACACAGCCACGAAAGTCTTAAGCCGCATCTCTTTAATACGGCAACTTTCTCTTCGTCCCCTTGTCTGCTTCAGTCGACTCTTCAAACTTATAGCATCTCAAATTCTCCCCACTGATGGGGCAAGTGACACACATCTGTGGTTTAGCTCCAAGGCTCACCAAGAGTCCCAAGAATCTCTGCTCGGTCCATCAGCCACATTGGATTTTGATGGCACTCGGGCGATCCAAGAAAGACACGGTTTGGCAAGATCTATGTCTTCCCAGACTTTAAGGAGTTCACGCCACGTCTTCTTCTTTGCCGAACCTTTGACTGCAGTATCCAGGGCCGCCCAGTTATCGCAAAACAAAATGGCTGACTCGTCATGCAACTCATCGGACCACACATGTCGCGCAGTGACTAGCGCATACAGTTCAATCAAACCTATCACATGACTGGCACCGTCTGCTCTCATAGCCGCCAATGCCGAGGTAGGAACATCCGCTCCAAACGCTAATGGAATCCGTGCCGGCTGAAACAAAACTGCACCAATACTGCTCCAGAATAGGCTGATCAGAGCCACGGTTTTGCCCGATTTTGATGGCCCGAGGAAAATGCCCGTGCACGGCACCATGGACCACGGGGTCAGAGGCTTGTTTGCTGCTATACTCTGTCGTAGGAAACAGCTTGATCTTCCCCATTTCCTTTGCGTTACTTGCCAAATTTGAAGCCGGGCAGGAAAAACTCGCAGGCGGTTGACGCGCTGGCCATGGTGGCAGGGTTGTTTCTTCAGGAAGAACGGAAACGGTTTCAGAAACTTCAGAAATTGTGTAGACCAGCCCAAGTACCCCCCTCAGTATCTGCATGTTGTGGCACTGTGTGTTTTTCAGTGCATTCCGAGCTCTGCTTACATTATTTCTGCTGTGCGTGTTTCATGTGGCAGTGGGGCTTTTTCTACATTGCATGGCGGTCTTTGAGTGTTGGTGGTACCTTCTGGCACTGCTGATGTGTATTTGGATCATCTATGTATTCCTTGGTGAGTAGATGATTCACGACGCTGCCTCTTTTTGCCCTGCTGTTGTGTTGGGGTTTTGGTTCGGCTTGCTTGTTTCTTGTTTTCTTGTGTTTGGTTTTGGTTTCTGAGGGCCGGAGGCTTTTTTGTACTTCTTACCACTTTTGTCTCACACTTGCATTCCTTCTCACCGCTCTTGTCTATACCTTTCCTTGGTGCAGAGGCGTGCTAGATTCACGGAAAGCTGCCTCGAATCAAAAAATACAAGACGTCTGCGCTCTAACAGCGGACCTGCGTGATCACATCGGCCGCCTGGAAAATGCCCAACTTGTTCCTGGCATTGTCCTTATTTGTCGTAAACATCAAGCTTCACGGGGAACAGATCTTCTGCAAGACGGACATCTCATACCAGGCCGAAAAACAGACTGAGGGCGGTCAAAAGGTTGCTCAATTGCTCAAAGACTGAACAACGCAGGAAGGACGTGCCGCTTTACACGTTTAGTGAGAAAGCAATGATCAAACATGCTTCCTTACACTCCAATCGACATGGACAAGGAGTTGCGATCGATGTTGCGTTGGTTGTCTGGCTCCGCGGTGGAAGGTTGGGCTTACTACAACCGCCCGTACTTCAGGAAAAGGGAGATTTTGGTACACACGCTGAACAAGAGTTACGCAGTAGCGACTTACCGGTGGCGTTTTGGTTCCGGATCCGTCGCGCCCTCGGATGGGCGTTGCTGGGTCCTCACGTCGAGCATCTTCGTATTTCTTGGTATTGTGGAGTGCTGGTACGTTGAAGCTCTGACATTTGGGACACGGGATTGGTTGGTTAGGGGCCTTTTTTTTGTGGCTTGTTTACACATAAGAGCATTTGTTTGGCGCAAGGTTCGCGCCCGAATCACATGTTCTTCAAATGTCTTTGATTTGCAAAGGCAATTTGGTTGGAAAAGAGATCCTGTGTAGCATCTATTTTGAAACAGAACTTGATACATATATCAAGTAGAACTCATATGGAAAGAACCTAGAGGTCCCGCTTATTGATTTGGGTCACATTTCCACCAACGGCTACTCCCTGAAATTCAATTTGAATTTGCATAGGATTTAAATAGGGTTCAAAAATAATACTTGATCAGAATCCTGCTGGTAATTACATCGGAGAATCTTTCCCAATAGAAAATCCCAAATAAGTTAGAATTTAAGCAGAATTTGACAAGGAAGGAAACCAAACACATCTTTCTATGCTATAATAGTGTTTGACTAGAATGGCTAAATTATGTAAAATAACAATTTGCACAGCATGTTCTTTCCAAACGAATTTCTTTACATTTCAGCTAAGATTTACATAGACATAGTTCAACTTGAGTTTCAACTCAAAACGTGAAAAATAAGCGCAGGCTCACAGCGTCCCGCCCTGGTTTTTTGGGGCAGGTCTTTGGTACGCTTCTGCTTTCTTGCCGGAAGATGCTGTTGTACACTTTGGTGGTAGATTTGCTTGATGCGCACGCGCTCTGCGACTTTTGGCATGCTGCGTAGCAATGCCGCTCGTCCTGGTTCGCCGGGCTTGTTCTGGGCAGATTGTCGTGTTGTGTTGTTTTTTGGACAGGCTCGGCATGCCGTGTCGCAAAGCTCTCTGTACTTTTGGACAGTAGAATTGCCTTATGCTGTTTCTCATCCGTTGCTGCTCGTTCTGCGTAAACCATAGCCTTCAGGACAAGCTCTTGATAAGCAACTTTTGCATTTTGACGGTAAAGTTGCCTGATGCTTATTTTCCTTGCTTTTTCTGCGCAAAATATCACGTTATGTGTTTCGTTGCGGAAATACGGTTGCGGAATATACAGTTGTGTTTTGGTGGCAGACTTGCCTGATTCTCTTTGCCCTGCTTGTTCTGCGTAATATAGCATTGGTAGCTGGTATGCTGTGCAGCTGCTGCTTTGTTGCCGGCAGTTACTGTTGCATATTCTGGCGGTCGAAGTACCTGATGCTTGTTTGCACAACAGGTGCAACAGGTCGCTGCGTTGAGTTTTAACGGAGCTCCTGTCTGGAATGTTTGTGTTTTTTGAACAAACCAGCTTGCTGAGAGTTCATGCAAGATTCATAGCTTTTTAGTAGCCTCGTTGGCTGACAACACATTCTTTCTATTTGGGGTGTAATTGTGCTGGTAGAACTTAAGCAGCAACACACAACGCAAACAGGGTTTGCTAAAGTTGAACCAAAATTTCCAATCCCAAGCTGAATTTGCACTTGAACCAACTCAGCCAGCCTCGGCGGATTGCCCCGGACCCTGGGCATGTCAGCCGATTTTGTTGTGTTTTTTACAGACTGTCGGTGTGTGCGCACGCGCCCATGTGTTTGTGTGTTTTCAGTGCAATGGCCATGAATGCTGGAGATCAGGCCACAAATGATTGTGGCTGCTTGGCGTGTGGGGTGGTGGGGACTTGCATTCGCTCAGCCATTCCACACGCAACCGGATTATGCCGCGTGGGATTCATCAGGGCCGAAAGCCTTAGAAAAGGCGAGGAATAAAGGACTGGGTGCCGTGAAAAACGCTCAGGATTGGCGGCGGATGCCTAGGCAGGCACCATGCTGTGTACTTGCTGCGCGAGCCATGATGCTGCACAGGAACCACACGTGTCCGGTCAATGACAGAACATCCGTTCCATCAGTTCTATGTGCAGAGCCGGCTGGTTTGCGGGTTGGTCACGGCTACAGTGTCAACTTGCCAGGGCGACTGTGTTTGCGCCAACTCCTCTCATCTTCGGGAGTTGGCCCGACCCCCGGCCTCGAAAGAGAAAGCATCCGACCCACCATTCAGTTTAGCGCTTTCCAGGTGAACGTCACTGTGGATGGAATGGCTTGCTATGCGTGCGAACCGCGTCGACCTCCCGCTTGCACCGAGGCAGGGGGTATGGATGGATGCTGTGTGCGCAGTGTTCATGATGTATTCCGTGCACGAACGAGTGTTGCTGGTTGATTGGATCTTGGGTCCTTCTTGGGCAAACTGAAGTAGGACTCAAATGCAAGGCTGGAGAGGCATGATGTGCGCACTTCAGCCCTTGGCAGGCGCACGACCAGTGCACACCTGAAGCATGTGAGTGCGGCAACTCTCTGACTCACGTGGTTCCGGCTGGTTGCTGCTTCTGCTGTGTTGTTGTGATCCATGTTCGGTGCGGACGCCAGGTGAAGCTTGCCGCAACCACTGTGGATGGCAGCCCATGCTTTTACTGTGCCTGCCTCAGAAGTGAAGAGACCATCATCACAGACGAGCCCAGGTGAGTCGATCACCGGTGCAGCGGTTGGAAGGCGCTTGCCCTGCGCATTGTCTTGGATCCACAGCACCAACTCAGAGGTTGGAACTCCTCGTGGGGGCAGTGGTGCTATTGCTGTGCTGGCACATGGGCAGGCCGTGTGGGCCGTGTGGGGCGTGTGGGGCGTGTGGGGCGTGTGGGGCGTGTGGGGCGTGTGGGGCGTGTGGGGCGTGTGGGGCGTGTGGGCACGTGTGTTTCAAAGTCGCAGGAAGCCGGTGCCTCGGGGCAGCTTGAGGCTCTCCCGACGCCAGGCCTGGCTTGCACCTGGGTGGCTGTGAGAAGCATGACCGCCAGGGCGACCGCAGCCGGGCCATCCGGGTGCAACAGGAGCCACTGAAGTTCTACGAAGAGGCCGGAACTCGAGAGTTTGCAAACCTGCATGAGGAACGGCACATGAGACACGGAGACACGGCTGGGAGCGGGTGAGAGGTGCTCTTCGCCATCGGGGACATCTTCGATCTTCTGGCCCGGACTGACCTCCGACTCCCGCACCGGAACTGTTTTGATTTAGGTGGATGGCGCCTGCGAGCTGCTGGGGATAGCTGGTGTCTTAGCTTTCGGCCACGAATCCGACAAATCGAGGCCTGTCATGCTGTCATGCGTCTCAAGGCCTGGCAGTTCTTGCGCCAGCTGGACCTTAGCCTCGTTGTTGGCCGTGTCAGGACTTGTTTTGACTCACTTTCTCGCGCAAGTTTCGGATAGCAGGACGGATCTGGAGGAGACATGCCGCGGGCCCACAGACCCACAGACCCACAGACCCACAGACCCACGGGCCGATTTTGGGCAGTGCAACTATGGCCGCTGAGGTGCCAAGGCTCTGAAGGCGAAACTCAGCTTTGGAGGGCTGAAGCTTGTGAAGCCATGTGCCAGGAGACGAAGCGGCCAAGAACAGGTTCCAATGACCAGGCGAAAGGCAAGGAGGCCCTGCACCGGAGCGTCAATTGATCAGCTGGGTCAATGTCGTCGCGTCAGGTGTCCGGAGCGTCCACGTCCGGAGCCGGGCCGGCCGAGAAATGCCCAGCACTGAGCGGGAGACCTCGTTTGCCAGCGGCCAGCCGCCGAGGCACCGCAGCGGCAAAGGCACGGAGATGGAAAGGGAAATGCCAAAGGCACCGCCAATCGAGCTGAGTTAACTCAGGTGAGCACGGAGCCTGACACCCGACGGGGTACAAAGCCACGGCCCCAGCCCCGAGGGGAGCCTCGGGGAGAGCAGAAGGTTCGGGAAGTCCGGGAAGTCCGGGCGCGCACGCCGACGGATCAGATACCCAAGGCCTGGGAGAGAGCGACAGAGAGCGAGAGAGAAAAGAGAAGACAAGTGACGTGTCATGAAGAACTTCACGTACTCTCACATGCTTGGGCCATTGGGTCGTGTGCAGGAAGCAGACACCGGTTCGGGGCTGATGCGAGTTCTTGTGGGCCTGTGTATGCTTCGCCCTTGAGGAAAGAAGGTGCCAGCAAATGAAGTGTTGGATTTGGCATATGGCCCGCAAGCCCGGCAAGCGCAGAGAGGCGAGAGCATGGGAGAGGCATGGGAGAGGCATGGGAGAGCATGGGGCACGGGCTGGTTTGAGGAGAGAAGAAGGAGAAGGCGCCAAAGGAGCCGAAGGAGCCGAAGGAGCCGAAGGAGAAGCCGAAGGAGCCGAAGGAGAAGCCGAAGGGGCCGAAGGGGCCGAAGGGAGAGAAGGCGGCCACCAAGGTGCAGATGGTGCCGCTCTCTGAGCTGGGCTCTCGGATGACATGTGACGCGTGTCCCTCCCTTGAGAGTTTACTGCAGGGAGCCGTCTGCACTGTATCGGGCGGCGTTGGCAGCCAGGGTCTCAGGGTCTCATGGTTTGCCGGCACTTTTGCAAAGCTCCACTCAAGGTCATGAAGGCAAATGCCGCGGCTGCCGAACAATGCTTGCCATCCTCCTAGAGTTCGCAACTGGCTCAAGCACTTGCTTGGAGCGAGGTCTGCCGTCTTGGCGGAGGAACGATCGCTGCTTTACTCGCTGATGACAGTACCAAGAACTCTTCACGTTTTTTTGGAGAGGGTCCGCGCTTCTTTGTATGCAGGAATTCGACAATGATTCAACTGAAGCTGGCAGCGGCAATCTTCCTGGGAATTTCGACGAAACTCCGAGCGAGGCCTTTTGTGCTTTTTGGTTCTCGAAGTTGTGCGGTGCCGCTGGTTTGAAAGTTTGGCAGGACGACGTTCGCCCCACCGCCGCCGCTGCAGCTGCGGCCATTCTGGCGGCCAAGCACTTGGATCGGACGAATTGACGACTTCGATCGCGTGAGCCTTGAGGCAGCCACAGACAAGAGAGCGGCCGCGCTGCAGCTGTTAGACGCATCTTGCCTGCAAGTCCACAAATAGATTCTGACCATGGCAAGCCATGTAAGCCATTTCCTCCATGCGGTTCAATTTGAAGTTTTCATTGGCTGGGAGCTTGAGCGGGACTTCTAAAATCCAGGCAGCGGCGATGCCCACCATTGAAGTGCGCACCTTCATAGCGGAGCCCTGCGAGCTTGAGGCTGGGTTTCCGAGTTCCGAAGGGGATCCTGAATGGGATGCGTCCTGTGTCCGTTGACGGCTACTGTCGGGCGCGGCATGGGGGGTGCTGGTTGCCTATCCAGGCGCCGGTCATGAGAAGAACCGTCAGTGACACAGACATCACTCGCCGGATCCCCAATAGACTGGGGGATTCGAACTGCACTCATTCTCTGGCCGAGTTTACAGCTGAGCTGCCACGCTGAAGAGCCAGAAGTGAAGTTGGGAGGTTCCCGTTTGATTTCAGAGTTTCCACAGCTTCACCTCTTGCCAGTGACAGCACCAATTCGCAATAAAGAACTGTTTTCATAGGGTGAAGGTGTGAGATTGGATTGGATTCAGAGTGAGCAAGCAATGTCTTCACTATGCAGCAAGGCACCTCTGGTGTATGCGGTTTTTGGCCAAAGCGGGTCTTCTGCTAGGAGAGCTCAGGTGGTGGATATTTCACCTTCTCCAAGGCCATTTTTCAAACCAAATCACCAAACCAGTGTTGCTGACCGTGATGGTCTTGGATTTTCAGGCGCTTGGTTACGGGGGCTGTGGCTATGAAACTGGCTTTTCAATGCCAGTACCTTCGGCCGAAGTCCGAAACGTTTCAAAAGGCATAAGATGCGACCGACAAACAAAATGGGTGAAAGTCCAAGACGTCACCAGGTTGGAGCTTGAGTCGCCTCAAACTCATGCAAACTTTGCATTCTGTTCTCAGAGTGAGTTGAATGTAGGAGCCACATGGAGCCATATGGAGCCATAAGCAGCCATTCGGCTGGCCCTCGCGGTTCAGGGTTTGGGGGGGCTGTGGCCTGTCTTCGCCATGCTGCGCGCTGTGATGGAGCAGGATGACGGTGCCCGCATGGTGGACAACGTGGGCTTAGAGTCGGCGCCTTTGGACGCCTTCCGAATTGCATGTCCAACTTGCGCCTGTAGAGCTCGCTTGGCTTTCAAGCAACCACATATCTTGTTTCGTGCAATGATCTGTCATGATATGTCATGTGTCAGGTGTCATGTGTCACACATCATGTGTGTCATGCGAGTCATGTGTCATTAACGTCATGACATTCATTGCAATGTGTCTTCTTTGTGTCTTCTTTGTGTCTTCTTTGTGTCTTCTTTGTGTCATGACGTCTCGTGTCTTTTTTTTGACTGCGAGGCAGTCGGTGGGCTCGCCGGCGCGGCGGCTGAGCTCGCTGGGCACGCGCTCCTTCTCGGAGCCCGTTGTGCGGCACGCGGCCGAGGAGGCGCACCACGGCAGCGAGCACCGCCAGGAGACCGGGGACGCGAGCGACAGACGGGGGGAAGTCGGGACCAAGGGTTTGCCTGCGGAAGACGTATGCTTGGACTTGTTGTTCACATTTTTATACTTCTCATACTTCTTATGCTTAAATCCTGCTTCTGCTTGCTTAGTAGGTTCGAAAAGGGTCGTTGCAGGAGCGCACGCAGCTGGGCCTGGTGCGGTTCCGGCGCCAGCCCATGGTGCCTGATGTGGGCGGCCTGGGCTGGCGCACGAAAACGGGGCACCTGCTGAAGAACCAGTCTTTCTACCCACAGACTGCGGTGAACACCTGGGATTTGCCCGCGCATGCAGGTGTTAACACCTGGAAGGAGACCTGAAGCTGAGAGATTTGAGAGAGATCGATCTGAGAGACAGATGAATCAGATGAATCAGATGAATCAGATGAATCAGATGAATCAGATGAATCAGATTCCAGAGTCCAGACAGACGGCTTGTGAAGCTCAGGACTACCACGGCCCGAAGATGGCCACGGATGCCGAGATGTGGGCTTGGCGTGTTGGCTCCTGTCGCTCTCGCTTTTTCGGCCTCTTTTTCGGCATCTCTCCTCGTCTCTTGTCTCGAATTTCTAACGAATTCCTAACGAATTTCTATCGAATTTCTCGAATGTCTCGAATTTCTCCTTGTTTCTTGCGCTTCTTGCGCTTCTTTTGTTTTTTGGGTTTCTTTCTATTTCTTCCTCTCTCGCCTCGTGGCAGGATGGAGCGCCTGGACCGCTTCGACGAGGAGGCGGCGGAGTGGGAGGCGAAGAAGCTCTTCGTGAACACCACGCGAGCCCAGACGTCCCGTCCACGCGTTTGCGAACGGGAAGGGACGTCGACGTCGCATTCGGTCCGATGAAAACAAGCATCAGTCAACGGTTTGTAACGGTTTAGTTGGATAAGTTTACTAGGTTGACTCAATCTAGAGCTAGAAAATCACAGCTGGCGAGGTAATTTGGTTCACGAGCAACCAGGTTAGATTCCCAATAGACCAGCCAGTCATTCTTCGAGTTTTGCTTTTGGGCTGTTTCATATGTTAGATGAAAAACTATTGGCCAGTCAAGGATTTGCCGATAGAATAAGACATAGCCGATGAACGCAAACATATAGTCTTTGAGAGATGCTTGGAGCTTGCCAGGCTGGACCGGTTTTCCAACCGGAAGATCAACCGCAGCATGCTGACCTCGCAGCCGTGTTGGGCCCCACACCACAGGGCCAGACGAGAGGCACGGATGGCAGGCGGCAGTGACGCGCAGCGTGTGCGCGTCAGCGAGGTGCATGCCATCTTCGAAACTTTTGACTCCAGCATGGGCGAGAAGCCGCAGAAAGAGCTGAGAAAGGCGTGCCATGCAAAGGTTGCGGAGTAGCATGGTTAGTGCCCGAAACCGGTGCCGGCACGGAGACAGCGCCAGGTCTACACAGAGAAGGTCTTGAAAAAGGATCGCGAGGTGCACAGCACAGAGTTTGCATGTCGTTGAGATCTGACCGCGCCAGGCCATCCGGCAGATCGCCAAGCGGATCCAGAACGAGGAGACCTGGAAGCTGGTCTTCAAGCATATGGAGCAGGCGAGTGGCTGGGGGCAAGACTTCAAGACCAAGGCCGTAGGCAGTTTTCCGTGGAGACTTGATCCCGGAGGAACGACGCGCGGACATTCGCGCAGATCTTCAGGAAAGACAGGCGCACACAGATCAGCTCATGGCAATGTCCGGGCAGCCCTTGCAACAGGAGCCGGTGCTCAACATATGTGACATCCGAATTGCTTGGCATTTGTTGGCATTCGACCAGGACAGGGCGCGCTCGCCTCTGCCAAACAACTGCTCGCAGAGAAGCGAGGAGCTGGCCGTTTCTGATCGTAGCTGCCGAGCTGCATAGCTGCCCAGCTGCCTAGGAGCTCTCTGTCCCGCGGCAGCCTTACATGCCGAAGGACGTGACGCAGCTCACAGACTTCCGGGGTCTAGTTCACGCAGACAGCGACTTTGCACTGGAGACGCTCTTCCCGGGCTTTGGGCACGATCTCAGCCGCAGCCCCAGACTGCCCAGGCTGCCTGCCTTACGAGCCTTACAGCCTTACGGGCTTATGGCCATACTGGCCTTAGGGGCCTTGCGGCGTGAGGTGCGGAGTTCCGAGCAGCTGCCACGAGGCGTTGCCTGCGAGTCTGTTTGCCTGCGAGTCAACGCGAGTTCTCATCTCAATCTCAACGCGTGTTGAGTGACGAGGAGCACGGAGCCGGGGTGGCCGCCGCCGGCGGCCGCCGCCACGCCGCGCCGCGCCGGGTCCAGAGAGAAGGCGCTGAAGGCCAGCGCGCGGAGTGGCTCGCAGCTCGCGCCAGTCGTGCCAGTCGTGCCAGTCGTGGCAGTCGTGGCAGTCGTGCCAGTCGTGGCCAGGGTGCCTCCGTCACAAAGGGCTCGATCCCCGTGTCCAAGCACCGCTTGGAGCGCGTGGGCACCCGCACCAACGAGGACTTGCTGGCCGAGCACTCCAAGGCCTGAGGGAATCTAACTCTTGGCTCTGCCTCTCCCAACTTCTTTGAGGCGCAGTTCCGGCGCACGGCGGCGCCGCCTGCGCCTCCGCAGTCTCGGGCACTCCTGGAGGAGGTGCGAGCCTTGGCGCGCCGAGCGAAGTCGAGCTGCCCGTGCTCAGGACTTCTCGCCAAAGGTCACGCAAAAGGATCCCTTGCGCGTTACGGGCCGCTTCGCCCGGACTGAGCACACCCGACACCCCACATCCCCCAAGGCGCGGAATGGAATAGAGGGGAGTGGGGGGTGGGGGGTGGATTGGAGTCAGCTGCGTGTGCTGGAGGCCCAGGAGGAGTTGCCTCCTCCCCGACGACCCATGGTCTACCATGTGATGGTTGAGTCTCACTCGCCAAAGGCGAGCATGGTGAGGGACTTAGAGAGCGTCCAGATCCACGAGAGCGCAAAGAATCTGAGGGCATTGACACCACCATGAGCTCCATGTCTTCCCTCAGGCGCGTGAGTCCTCGTGAGCTCGTGACTGTTGTCTCCGGTCCGAACTCTCGCCAGGAGGAGCGCCACATCGCCTCTGCCAGACTGCATAGACTGCATAGACTGCATAGACTGCATAGACTGCATGGCGCGCATCGCACACCAAGGTTGCCGCGGCCAGGGCCCAGCCAGGAGCGCAGCCAGGCCGATGCGAGGCGAAGCGTTTGATTGTCGTATGGGATCTCTGCAGGCAATGGCTGACGTGTGCGCGGAACTAGACGACTTTGATGTCCTTTTCTCAGCAAATGGACAGTTGCAGTTTCGATGCACTTGTATTCATTCTGGCTCGTTTTTGTGACTCAGATGGTTCCAATTGCACAAAAGCGGCATGTCCAACCTGCATCGAAGAAAGGCGTTTCCCAAATTTCGTAAGCCATCGAAATGGTTGGTTTCTGTCTGTATTTGTTTCTCAGAAACCGTCCAAATGCGGGGCACCGCCACATGGAATATATTTCACCCCATGTCGCATACAAGGTTGAGCTGAAGCATTCAGGAACGGGTTACCCCTGTGCCACGCATCAGCAACTTCTTCGCATCTCACCGTCTGGTGCCCAGTGTCTGGAAGTGTCTGGATTCTTTGTCCGAACTGCTTCATGTTGAGGCTGAGAGCCATTCGCTGAGAGTTTCACCCCCCGAGAAACATGGCAAAGCGGCAATGCGTCGCGTCGGCCATGAGCCATTCATGTGGAGTCCAAGCTCGTCTGTCCTCCGCACGTCTCGGAAAGAGAGATTTGGAAGACACGAGCCACAAGCCATCATGCAAGATAGCAAGATACGCGAGACAGAGCCATCCTGCATAGCCCCAGCCTTCAAAGTCTTCAAGGCCTGCAAGACACTGCAGACTGCAGCGTCGCACGCGCATTGCAATTGCCACAAAGCCAATGGCACTTTTTATCAAATGGTGGCATTGCTGGTGTAACGTACATTGCATGTGATGCCGAAATGGTGACGGTGCTGAGCGAGCTGAGCTTGGAGTACTCGTTTGCAGAGCTGCAGCAGGCTAGTTTGCACGACAGTGGATCGAAGTGAGAGCGAGCGTGGGACAGCGGAGGGGCTGAGAGATGCGGTCAGGCGACCAGCAACTTCCACGAGAACAACCGTCTAGGTGCCAAGTCTTTGCATGTGCACATTCGCAGTGAAAGCACCACAGCTCTGGACAGGCTATGGGTCCTTTGGCGGGGTCTTCAAGGGAATTAAAAGAGATGGTACGGAGTGCGCAATCAAGGTGAGCTTGTGATTCTTGTGTGAGACTTTCATGTGACTCTGAGAGGTGTTGGATGTGCCGGAGGAGTCTGGTTTCGAGGAGCCGGGCTGAAGGGCAGGGAACAAGCCGGATATCCGGCGGTTTCCGGCGATCTCCGATACGCCAGGAAGAGGTGCGCGTCCTCAGCAAGTTCCGACACCCAAACCTGGTGATCCTCATGGGCTTCGCAAAGAACGGGCGGGGCCCATCGGATCGACGGATCGACGGATCGACGGATCGACGGATCGATGTGAAGCTTGATCTCTCGAGGCCCCAGCGGCTGCTGGTCTACGAGCACCTGGGTGGCGGGGATGTCTTCCGTCGGCTGCAAAAATGTGCAGTGGACAATGCGCCTTGGTCACAGGAGAGAGAGAGCAGACCCGCACAGAGAGAGAAAGAGAGAGAGAGAGAGAGCTTCCCTATTTCCATGTGCATATCGGATCCAATTCCATAACAGGTACCCTTCACCTGGCGTGAGCGGGTCAGCGCCTCCTTGGATGCATCCTGCGGTGCGGCGCTTTGCCACGAGCCGATTTGCGTGGAACCATTTTTGAGCGTAAGGGTGAACATTTGTACATCAAGCCGTTGTCAAGGTTTGTCACACCTCCACAACTCCACGCCCAAGGCGCTGTGATAGACACATGCCATGTGCACACTACACACTATGAGCCCTGAATTGAGGTCTTTCACCGTGACATCAAGTGCCCCAACATCTTGTTGGCCGCCCCTGACTGGTTGGCCTTTGTCTCCTTGTCTCCTTCGTGGTGGCCTCGGGCAGCTTGGGCAGCTTGGGCACGGCTTCACGGCCAGGACCGAAACGGCACGGCCAAGATGGCAGACTTCGTCCCCGGCTCGGCCGCACTCTGCGCACTCTGCGCGCTCTGCGCGCTCGGCCATATCTCGGCGCTGAGGGCCTCGCCTGCTGCACGCACGACAAAGTGCAGAAGGTGGACCAGGAAGGACCGCGGAATATTGCGCTGGCAACCTGTCAGATCGTCCGCAGGCTGCAGGGACAGTGGGCTATGCTTGTCCGCACTACGTGAACAAGGGCATGGTCACAGAGGGCAGCGAGGAGCGCAATGCAAGCGCTTGATGGCTTGAGGATGTTTGGTTGCACGAGAGACATGCTTTCCGAGGTCTACAGCTTTGGCATTGTCCTCCTCGAGCTTCTTACAGCTGCGCAGCCCGCATGCATGTCAGAGGCCTGTGTGCCCGCATGCCTCTGCGCTTGTGTTTGTGTTTATTTTGCTATTTTGATTGCTTGTTTGTTCGTTCGTTTGTTTGTTTGGTCGTTTGCTTGTTTGTTTGTGTTTTTTTGGTGTGTGTGTGTGTGCGCGTGTGTGAGTGTGTGAGCATGCGCATGTGCACGTGCACGCACATGTGTATATGTGAGTCAGTGAGTGAGTGAGTGAGTGAGTGAGCTGAGTGAGTGAGTGAGTGAGTGAGTGAGTGAGTGAGTGAGTGAGTGAGTGAGTGAGTGAGTGAGTGAGTGAGTGAGTGAGTGAGTGAGTGAGTGAGTGAGTGAGTGAGTGAGTGAGTGAGTGAGTGAGTGAGTGAGTGAGTGAGTGAGTGAGTGAGTGAGTGAGTGAGTGAGTGAGTGAGTGAGTGAGTGAGTGAGTGAGTGAGTGAGTGAGTGAGTGAGTGAGTGAGTGAGTGAGTGAGTGAGTGAGTGAGTGAGTGAGTGAGTGAGTGAGTGAGTGAGTGAGTGAGTGAGTGAGTGAGTGAGTGAGTGAGTGAGTGAGTGAGTGAGTGAGTGAGTGAGTGAGTGAGTGAGTGAGTGAGTGAGTGAGTGAGTGAGTGAGTGAGTGAGTGAGTGAGTGAGTGAGTGAGTGAGTGAGTGAGTGAGTGAGTGAGTGAGTGAGTGAGTGAGTGAGTGAGTGAGTGAGTGAGTGAGTGAGTGAGTGAGTGAGTGAGTGAGTGAGTGAGTGAGTGAGTGAGTGAGTGAGTGAGTGAGTGAGTGAGTGAGTGAGTGAGTGAGTGAGTGAGTGAGTGAGTGAGTGAGTGAGTGAGTGAGTGAGTGAGTGAGTGAGTGAGTGAGTGAGTGAGTGAGTGAGTGAGAGGAGGGAGAGTGAGTGAGTGAGTGAGTGAGTGAGTGAGTGAGTGAGTGAGTGAGTGAGTGAGTGAGTGAGTGAGTGAGTGAGTGAGTGTGTGTGTGTGTGTGTGGGCTGGCGGGACTTTGTTTCCAAGTTATTTTGGGGATTGAGCTTTTTCCTCACGTGTTCAATGAAAATTATCAACGTGTCACCACTTGAGGGAGAGCTTTGTTCGCAATCTCGGACTGGAAGTCGTGAGCAGGGAGCGCGCGGGCTTGTGGATGGCGCGGGCCAACGAAGACCGATCCAGGATGTCGGGCAAAGTACCTGTGATTTTTTGGAACTCGATATATCCGGCTTGATGAAACCGTGTCATGCCTACTCCTGTGTTCTTGGTTTGAGCCCTTTTGGGTGACCCTTTGATGGCTCCCTTAGGGTCCCCGAGCACCAAGCAATTTGAAGATTTCGGTTTTTTGGACTTCTATACCATCTGAAAAAGCCACCAGTCTGTGTGCGTGTGGGTTGTTCTCAGCTCAGACCGTGTGCGCATGGTGCTGGGGATGCCGATGAAGCCCACATCCTGTTGCATCCGCATCCGCAACAAAATCAATGTTTAAGGACATTCAACGCCTCAACTCCCACGCTGCCCGCATCGCGTTGGCACGCAAAGTTCCAGCACTGAGAAGCTTTAAGCCCAGCCCCCCTGCGTAGCTGCAAGAGCCCAAAAAACCGCATCTCCGAAAGTGCATTTGGCGGCAAGGCCCATACGGCAGCAAGTTGCAGGCGCCAGCTTTTCAAGTTCTAAGCAATAGAAAGCTGAATAAGAGACAGAAAACGGAGCACAGCTGGAAGCGCAGCGAGAGAATTAGGTGTAAGAATGTGCATTTTCATTGTTTGTCCATTGGACTTGGATAGCGAGGCGGCGCAATTAAAGCAAAGACAGCTCAGCCGCCGCAGCGACGCGGTCTCTGTTCAGGGCCCGGATGGGAGTCAGCAGTACACCTTCCTCGTCTCCCACCTCAACGGGGATGTGCGCATCGCGGTGAACATGGCAGATCCCAAGGAGAGATCTTGCCGACTCACGTGACATGTTGGACGGCTGACGTGTGAGGCAGATTGGCCCCACACTGTGGCCTGGGACTTTGCCATGCTGGCCCTGCGGTGCACGGAGTACCAAGAGGCGTTTCAAGACAACTCTGAAGCGTTCTTGGATGTTTTTTTTGATTTTCTTTTCTTTTAACCGTGCCAGGAGGCGCGGCCGTGCTTCACGGAGGTGGTCACCACCCTTCGCGCCCTGTGCGTCGAGCCGGCCAGGGCCTTGGGGCCTTGGGGCGTCCGATGAGACCGCGGAGACTGCAGGCGACCTCGCCGTCCCCCCCCTCGCAAGCTCCGCCGCCCCCACCTCCCCAGCCAAACCCAATGCACTTCCAGGTGCAAGCCCAACAAGCCCAACAAGCCCAACAGGCGCAGCAGGCGCAGCAGGCGCAAGCGCAAGCGCAAGCGCAGGCCCAGGCGCAGGCGCAGCAGGCGCAGCAGGCGCAGGCGCAGGCGCAGCAGGCCCAGGCGCAGGCGCAGCAGGCGCAGCAGGCACAGCAAGCACAGCAAGCGCAGCTTCAGCGGCTGCAGCAGCAGCGTCCAGTTGTGTTGCAACCCGCCGCTTTCAAAAGTGGGCTGGTGCCTGACGAAGAGGAGCGCAAAGGCATAAGGAATGTGAATGCAATGCAGAATGTGCACCGGCAAGTCTCTGTGGCCTCTGAAGACCGGTACGGTTCAGGCCGGAAGGTCCAAGTTCGGATGCAAGACGCAGCGTTTCAAAACTTCCATGCTTGGGCATGTGATGTGCAGATTGGATAGGCAGCCCCGCCACGCCGCAGCTCATGCCCATGCACAGTCCGTAGCTCGTGTTGGATTCTTTCGAGCAAAGGGCTTGTATCGCCCAAGGCGTGTCTCGGCCGGTGCGTATCTCCGTCCAGAAGCCCTTGCTGTGGACACTTGAGCCAGCTCACAGCTGACAGATGATTTTTGGATATGGTGCACCCGTCCAAGGTGCATCTCTTCTCGGTGTTCAAGTCTGATTCTCCTCCCCAAGGACGGTAGGCAGTGTAGGCACCGTGGGTAGACCGAGCATGTTGAAACGTTTGAGGAGCAGAAGGTGCTGGCGCACCGGCGGGAAGGAGGAAGTCTGTGCCATGCTCAGGTCCTGTCTGGTCTGATGAGGCAGATTTTGTCTTCGGGATAGAGTCATTGAGTCTGAGGCCGAACTTCCGCTTTGGGCGCCTTTTTCAGGACGACTTCTGTCGCTTGGTGCTTCCTGTGGCTCACTCAGCCAGCCACAGTGTGTCTCCTGCGATGCCGCCCGAATTCCAAGGATGACCATTTATTCCACCAAGTCTCCAGGGAGCACTTCCAGATTTGGGCCGGGGGCATTGAGTGCACAGCGAGCGGCCACCAGCGCTCCGTGTTCATTCCGTCATTCCCTGGCTTTGTAGATATATATATATATACATGTATATATATATATAGACGCATGTATTAAACTTATTTTCTGGGCCTGCGGCCTCTAGCCGGCTACGCCTCTTTGAAGTTATACCAGGCCATCTTATGTTTTTTGTATGAGAAACGTATCCTGTGCTATGATATGGCTGGGTAGGTTATGCATGTTGCCCACCCCAACCCCAGATGATGCCGGGGATGCCAGCTTTCTGGGCCCCAGCCGGGCCCCAACCCAGAAGGCTGATCGCGCGCGCGCACGCGCGCCAGAGGCCCCAGAAACAGCAGCCCAAAAAGAACAGCCCGCAAGCCAGCCCGGAAACGCAAATGCAACAAAACACTGTAAATAGCAGCGTTTTGTGGCTGGGGTCGCGCGCGCGCGCCAGAAGGCCTGAAAACCAACGCGAAAAAAGCAAGGACCGCGCAGCACGCGAGCCAGCCATAGCAAAAGCAAAACGGACAGAACAACAGCCCAACGCTCAGCGCAGCAGTTTTTGGCGGTATTTACAGCGTTCTGCAGAGCGAGGACCCACCATCGCCGGCATGCCCGGCAGCGCTTGGCGCCAAAATGCGCAAAAATGAGCCTCGCTTATATCCCTCCGATACCTTCTAAAAAACAGTGCTTCATGGGTTGACAGGCTTTTTGGAAGGAAGTCTTGATGATGCAGACCAAGACCCGCTGCAGCATCACCCAGGCCCAACCCCAGACCCTGACGATGTCAGCCACATGGCCTAAACTTTTGCGAGGGCTTCCCACAGGCAGGCAAAACCGCAAGCCCGAGCTGGTGACGCAGAGGTGCCGGATTTAGGCAGCGCATCACGACCGCGTGGCGAGGGTCGGCGGCACCAGGGTGCAGCCCCTATAGCTAAAGCTAGCAGGCTAATTGCCTAGCGGCGACATGCTACCCCAGGAGGCGTAGCCGGATTCAAGGGCTGCCGCCCTGTGCCGCCGACCCTGCCAGACGCAAGCGTGCAGCGCATGCTGTGCACAAGCTCAGTGCCAGGAAGGAGGGGATCCTATGTTTTCTTGCCTGCCCGTATTTGCTTGTACTTTTGCGCATAGTGGCGTCGAGCCCCGGATTTTCCCGAAATCGGATGTTGTAGAAATTCGGGAGGCCGCCAATAGTGCTTGGACTTCCGGATGTTCCCGGAATCCGGAGCCAAGGACACGGCCAGCCCCCGGATTTTCCCGAAATCCGGGGTCTGAGCTGACGGTTGTGTTCTGGATGTTGTAGAAATCTGGGAGGCGGCAAGTAGTGCTTGGCAGGCAGGTTTTAGCAGGTTGCTCCGGATTTTCCCGGAATCCGGAGCCAAGGAGACGGCCGGTTCTCGGGGGTTTGAGCTGCCGGCCGCGCCCCCAAAATCCGGGGTTTGAGGTGATGGCCGCGCCCCGGATGTTGTAGAAATCCGGGAGGCGGCCAATAGTGCTTGGGCTCCCGGATTTTCCCGAAATCCGGAGCCAAGGACACAGCCAGCCCCGGGGTCTGGGGATCGGATAATAATCATCATGACGCATCCTCAGCATCACAAGCATTCATCATGATAATCATGTCCACGCATCTTTTGTATCATCACAGCATCCTCTGCATTACCAATGCTCCAGGAGCAAAGATCATGATGATCATGCGGATAATGATGATACGGAAGACAACTGTCATGACAAGCATCACCATAGCATCCTCTGCATTACCAATGCTGCCTAACGCCACATTTGAAACGTATAGAAAAAAGAGATGATGATGACAATCATGATGACCGTCATGAAGATGATGACTGTGATGACAGCCATCATGAAGATGACAAGGATGATGACTGTCATGATAACTATCATCGTAGCATCCTCTGCATTGCCAATGCTACAGGATGAAAGATCATGATGATCATACGGTTAATGATGATAAGGAAGACGACTGTCATGATAACTATCATCGTAGCTACCAATGCTGCCTAACGCCGCATTTGAAATGTATAGAAGAAAGAGATGATGATGACAATCATGATGACGATGATGAAGGTGATGACTGTGATGACAATCATCATGAAGATGATAAGGATGATGACTGTCATGATAACTATCATCGTAGCATCCTCGGCGTTGCCAATGCTGTCGATGACTGTCCTGATAACTATCCTCGTAGCATCCTCTGCGTTACCAGTGCTACAAAATCAGAGATCAGCATGATCATACGCATAATTACGACAAGGATGACGACTGTCATGATAAGCATCGTCACAGCATCCTCTGCATTACCAATGCTGCCTAACGCCACATTTGAAACGTATAGAAAATAGAGATGATGATGACAATCATGATGACCGTGATGAAGGTGATGACTGTGATGACAATCATCATGAAGTGACACATCGCGCACGAGGATGGTCATGAAGTGACACATTGCGCACGAGGATGGTGATGAGTATAATGATAATGATGCTGATGATGATGCTGATGAGGATGAATCTTTGGTTCTGCGTATGTGCCAACCACCCTTCCCACGCGCCTCCCCTTTTTAGAGAAAGGGTCGGCGGATTTTCTTATTCAAATTTCAAACTCATTCGCTCCATTCTTACCGTCGCGCTCCTAGCCCAGGCAGAGGAGTGGCCCAGCCTGCCATCAGTGGCAATGGCGGGGCAGCCTTGCACCTGCCGACCGGGCGAGTTGCGCCGTCGAATGCCGTCGCTCGTTCCCTCATTTCTCATTTCTCATTTGTTATTTGCTGGTTTGCTCGTTTGCTCTCTGCCAGTTTTTCTGACAAACTACGGCACGGTGGGCACCATTGTGGATGGCGTCATGCTGGACGCTCGCGGGCAGGAAGCGCGACTGCACAATGGCCTGCGACCAAGTTCAGTAATGGTCAGTGTGCACCGAACACAAGGAACACGCCTGCACTATCAAGCTCACTTCGAGTGTGCAATGCGCTTTCTCGTTTTCTGAGGCAGTGTCATTGGGCTGCTGGGCCGGGTCATTGTGGAGGGCGGCGAGATGAAACTGCCCTTCCTGGAGTTCCGCTTTGGCCTGGAGGGGCCCGGGCACCAAATCTCACGTCGGAACCAAGCCGACCATCCCCTTTTTGGAATCTTGAAGAGTCCGAGGTGAGCGGTGAAAAGCGGTGAAAAGCGTTGCAAGTCGGAGTGAACTCGTTGAGGTCTGTCTTGGAGGATGCTGATGCTGGGCCCACAGAGCTGCAGTGCAGGGCATAGCGATGTGCGTGGGGAAGTCGGACTCGGGTCAATTGCTGCAGAGTCCTTCCTGACTTTCTCCGTTCGGGGCTGCTGGCATTCGCTTTTTGGGTGGCGCGCGTTGGTAGGGACAGCTTTTTAGTGGTTTGTTCAACTTGCTGCTTGCAAGTTGTGGGTTCATTGGCGTGGCACCAGCGTGCCAACGTGTTGCCTGGACACATGCTACATAGATCATGCCTATGTCGCCGTGCTGCTGCTTGCATGCATCTGCTTGAATAAGTATGATGCTTAAACATTACCCTTACTGTGAAGAAGATGGTGATGATGCTCATCATTATCATCATCGTCATCGTACCACCCTTTTTCACAGCACGTCTGGTCATCCGGATGCTGTCTGCATTGTCATGATGGTGCTTAAAAATATCATAATGCCAAACCCATCATGTTGCCGAAGTCATGTAGCTTTTATCAGAATTGTGCTTCCTGCCATTCTGTGTCATGACTTATGACCATGCTGAGCCCGCAACGTTGTCATGCTACTTGAGCGGCAGTCAAAGATCCCAGGAAGCAAAATTGGGGTTCTGAGGAAGGATTGGCCTAGGGCGCCGAAGCTTGCGGAACGCGTTGCAAGCTTTGTTGCCGCGCTGTGTGGATTCAGGTTCCAACCCTGTGCATGAGTGTACCTTGTACATGCTCCGCCGCTACAGACTTCAAGAGCACTATCAGCAGTGTGAAAAGTAGTCAACGGTTTGCTGCTTGCCTAGGTATTACCTTAGGTGGCCTAGGCTTGATAACACAGGTTATCAGCCGTAAAGGCTTGTACATAGATCGCCATGGCATCCGGAGATTTGCCCATTATATACAATATATCTGGAGAAGTTGGTGACGGTGGTGATGGTGCAGTTGCACCTACAGGTCCTGTTGACCCTCGCGATCCTCGAAACGTATTCGGGTTCGCGACAAACTACCAAGCCACCCAGAACATCATGCATGTGCATAACGACACGGGTGACGCTGTTAGGGAAGAGGCCAACACGTTACATCGCGTTGCTATGGATGCTACAAGGGCGGAATATAGCGCTCATTTGGCGGAAACTGTGCATCGCCTGGACGAGGAGAACAACCGTCGGACCCTTGAGCTGCACGAGCAGTTCGCAGAGGCTCGCGCTTTCTTCAACGCCCAGGTTGGCCAGATGCGGGGAGCAATTTCTGCCGAAGTGAACGAAGCTGTGTCGCAAAGAACGGCACAGTATAGCGCTTTCGCACAAAGCTTACATGCTGAGACTGTTGTGATGGAGAACTCGGAGAAGGCGGTCGGTGAGCAGAGAGACAGTATTTTGGCGGAGAATCACGCCATGCAGGACACGATCAACGGGCTGAACGACACCGTTGAGCGTCTGAGGAACGATCTCGAAAAGGCGCAGCGTGAAATGGTGCGCGGAGATCCTCAGCCTGCGTCAAGTGTACAGAACGTCAGTTCGGAGTCGTTTTTGGATAAGAGGGGCAGTATCTTCGATGATCCGCGTCTTTTTCCAATGCAGAATGCACAAACTTCTGGAACTATGCCACAGATTATTCCACAGCAGAGTTGGACTGATCCTATTTCTGGTGCAATGCAGTTTGATATCAAAGATCATGCGAGACGGTCTTCGGAGCAAGAGAACAGCCGAAGTCAGCAAAATCAGTCGACAAATCAGCCGAACATTGATCGGTTGACTGGTCCCGAGACCACCGAGGCGGAGTTCCGTGCGGCCCTCCTCGGCTTCGTCCGGAATCAGCATGATCGGCCAAAAGCAAAGGAAGCTGATTCGTTGAGGCTGAGTGAGTTTCCCACTCCTGAGACCTATAGAGCCTGGAAAACGGCTACTCGCGAAGAGATTCGGGCTGCTTCAGATCGGCCTGATGCTGCATTCACCTGGGTTAACAAGGTGTACGTCAACCGGGAGGACAAGAAGAATCTCATGTTAGAGCTTGGAGATCCAGAGCAGTTTGAAACGTTGGATACAAAGCTTCTTGCGGCCTTGTCGCGGATTGCTAGGGGCGACCTTAGTCGGCAGATCCTCACCTACAAGGAGCAACAAGCTGCTTTGGACAAAGTCGTCCGTGGACGTCAAGTTCTTCTCATGTTTGAGCAGTATTTCAGAACGAATGAGGAGGCCGGAGCGTTGTATTCCACTGAAGATTTGTTGAAGGTGGTACTTCATGGCAATGATTTGATGACCTTTATTCAGAATTGGGATTCCGTCATTGCTGGCATGAAGATCGTTCCGGAGCAGCACGTCTTGAAGGACATTTGCGACAGATTCGTGGATGTCACAAGATCAAGTATGACCTCGATACATACGAGCGTGCAAAAGATGGGTCGTATGACAAGAGCTACGAGTTTCTTGTTCAAGCCGTTCGTGATGTTTTGACTCGGGGTTGCAGTCAAATCGTGATCGTGTTGCTCGAGCTCATAATCAGAAGGTCGGTGCTCCAGCTCCCAATGCAAATCCTGGGCGTGCAAGAGATCCTTCAGCGGTCAAGTATTGCTATGATTTCCAGAAAGGCAAGTGCACTCGGGATAATTGCATTTACAAGCATGAGAAAGACCCAAGACCCCCGAGCCAAAATCCAAAAGGAAAAGGTCGGGGGCGCTCTGACAGCAAGGGGAGAGACAGGGATCGGTCGGCATCGAGAAAGAGAGCGGAGCTGAAAAAGATCCCGTGCAGGTTTTTCAAAGGCGGTCAGGGGAAATGCACTCGTGGAGACAACTGTGCGTTTTCGCATGAGACTCGGTCTGCTGCACCAGCAACAGATAAGCCGAGCCCAAAGAAAGGAGCCAGCAGAGGTAGGTCTCCCACCCCAAAGGGAAAAGGGAGGAAGCGATCCCAGAGCAAAAAGGGCGAGTCCTCAGCCGCTGTGTGTCTGAGGGTGAAAGAGACCAATGCATGCCTCGCAGCATGCCGCCCAAAGCAAGATTTCTGGGAAGTTGACTCGGTGAACGAGATGATCATTCGACACCATGTGATGCCTCGAAAAGCGCTTTATGATCCGAAGAGTGCAAAAGACCTTCCGATTTCGCTGGAACGTTTATTGGATCAGCGCATCACCAAAGCCAACATCAATGGCAAAGAGCAAGTGTTTGGTGATTTCTGGGCGGATCCTGATGAAGGTTTGGAGCAATACTTGACTGGGCAAACAATTTTCATTTGCAGTACAGATGTTTCCAATACCCGCAGATGCGTGAAATTCGCAGACAATGTCGAGATCGTCGAGATCGAGGCCAATGGGCTATGCCTATCATGTGCTCCAAAGCCGAATGACCCTGAGGTTGTGTGGTATGATGGTTGTGCGCCTGGCTCAAATCCCAAGGATCTGAGCGATGCTAAAGACAAAGCTTTGATCCTGGAAGGGGTTGTTGACTTGATGCATGCAAACTACAACGCGCCTTGTGGGTTCTATTGCGAATACTATGATGACAATGACCCAATTTATTGCGGTTTATATTGTCCTGGCTGTTGGATTGATGATGATGAAATGAACCTTGACGATGTGCCGGAGTACATTGCTACGCCAGCACCAGCAGGGCTTCGTCAGTGGATTGTCGACACAGGTAGTGAACAAGATCTGGTCGACTCTGAGCGTGCAGTTACACTTCAAAAGAAGATAAATCCTGCATTGACTCCAATCAATCTTTCAACAGCAAATGGATCAATTTGTGCAGACAAGATTGCGGACTTCTCCATTGATCAGTTGAACGAGGTCGTCACTCCGTATGTTTTGCCGAGCACACCAGCTGTACTTTCTGTTGGTCAAAGATGTTTGGAAAAGGGGTACGATTTCGTATGGAGAAAGAACAGTGCTCCGTACTTTGTTCGACCTGACGGGAAAGCGGTAATATTGAAGCTCGATGGGCGAGTTCCTTATGTTGACGATCAGTGCGAGGTCATAGCTTCTGAATCAGCTATGCCTGTTGCTCTTGCTGCATCCGATCAGAAGATCGGGGAAGTGCCTTCATCTTCAAGCGGAGGGCAACCTCCGCCGGATGCTGCATCGTTTCCATTGCGCCCTGATGAAGCTGAACCGCTGGAACCGGAGTTTGATCCGGAATTGGAGGACAACCCTGAGGTTGAAAAAGCTCCAAAACCGATGTCAAAGCGTTCAAAAGAAATGATGATGCGTGAGGCCAAAAGTGAAGAGCATCTTTTCACTCACAGGCCCAAGAACCCCTTTTGCGAAACATGTGTGCGATCAAAGATGCAAGCACCTCAGGCTCGTCGCAGACATGGATCTTCTTCGGTGGATGCAAAAGCATTTGGAGATCATGTGACTGCTGACCACGTCATTTCAAATGATGAGACGTACGGGTTCAAGGGCGAGTGGAATGCTTTGGTCGTGAAAGATGTGTTCACGCAGTTCCGGTATTTTTACCCTTCAGCAAGGCAAGATGCTGACAGTTGCGTTCGTGCATTTCAACATTTCACGAAGCCAGATGATCATGTTGGGATTTTCTATTCTGACAATTCTGGCGAGATTGCAGCTGCAGTAAAGAGTATGGGTTGGAGACACGTGCTGAGCCAGCCATATGTCAGTCAATCTTCCGGGGTGATCGAGCGCGAGATTCGTACAATTCTGGAGGGAGCAAGAGCAAATCTGTTTCAAAGTGGTTTGCCGGTTGAGCTTTGGCCTTTGGCAGCTCAACATCATGCATTTGCTCTCAATGTTACAATTCCAGATGACAAGGATAAGTCGCCGTGGGCTTTGCGTTTTGGTGATGAGTTTCCTGACACGAAGATTCCATTTGGTGCAAAATTGTCGTATTGGATCAATCGTCAGCGCGTCGATTCGAAGCAGTCCAAGTTTCTGCCAACTTCGGATGTCGGCATTTTTGTTGGCTATCATGTGCAACCTGGCTTTACCTACACCCATGAAATTTTGGTATTGCCGCTCAAGAATTTGCCGGACAAGTTGCGGACGGGTGACATTAATCCCCTCCGCGTCAAGCA